GCTGTGACGTATGCGGCCGACAAATTCGACCTTCAGAGGACCCGGCCTGCCGTTTTGGACACAGCCAAAGACGTTTGACACAGACAGTCGTCTTAGCAGTTAGCTGTTAGCAACAGTGTCCACTAATTTTTACTTGTTAAAGGGCTTAGCTTCAGAATTAATAGGTTTAGTGTTCAAGAAACTGCATATTTTTAGTTAATAATACGAACTGTTGCYGTCAACCCTGTTTGTCTGGTAACAAAATTAACTTGTTAGCTGTGTCCACCATTGARCATCGATAATAATTTTGAGAAGACATTGCCACCCTTATTTGCCATTTTTAGCGTGGAATATCAGAAATACCTGTTATAATACCTTAACCATGAATGGGAAAGCCTTAAGACRTTGGCTGCAACTCCTAATTTGACTGTTTGATCATATCCAAAAACTTTTATTACATTACTTTTACATTATATTTTTACACTGGACACAATTTTTACACAAAATTAAGGTCGATGCCGTGGTCAGTAAGGGCGTTTGGCGTAAAAACAATTATCAAATCTTTCATTCAAACTAAATGGGGCTTTTGTGAATTCATTAAARCCCACCGCTGTCATCACTAAATGTCACTTCTAAAGATATCCCGACAGTTTTTTTTCCAAGTTTTTATTCTTGTTCTTTATTGTACCAGCGTACCAAATAGTAAAGTACTCACATAATGTTGTGACTGGTGATTCTTTGCTAAAAACATTATTTTGACTGTTTTCCGGTGAAAATAGTGGTACATATTWTCCTCAACACAACCTTGTGTCCATTTGCTCGAGGCTTTCCTTCCCATCATGAGCCCTAAACGGACCGAACATAAAGCTCACAGCAGGAACACATTCTTCCAGCATAATGAACAGTGTTCACCACGGGGAAAAGAAAAAAAAAGAGCTTTCCATTATTTCTCGGCTCATTATGCAGCAGACTGATGGCTTCATCAGCTTCTGACATTGATCCTTTCCTGTGGTAAAAAGGGCAGAGGGAGATGTTGCCATGACAAACAGGTCAATAAGTGCCTCTAAGCTGTCTTTCTTTGACACTCCTGGACACGTTAGACTGTCCACATTGCATTGCATCAGCCGGAAGTCGGCGCKCAGATCGAAGGTAAAAGCCGAGCTCGTTCAGGAATGTTCTGAGCGCGAACTTCAACTCGAACAGTTAGAGAAAGCTTTTGTTTGTTACGGCAGCTAATCTTTGGTAAAATGTTCTTAACAGAGCTCCACCACGCAGACACGCCCTCACTCCTCCACTTTGCTGCTCGACACGGACTCAGGTGCGTCGCCGACCTGCTTCTCCARTGTCCCGGCGCCGAGCGGGCTCTGCGCACGGCCTGTCGCCGCGGCCAGACTCCCGCCGAGGTCGCAAAAAGTCACGGCCACATGGAGCTTCACGTCCTGCTCAAAGACACACTGGTAACTCATGTTTACCTTTTTTTTTCTTGTGCTGCCCCCACCCCCTTCAGCCTCTGAATAAAAAGATGCCCACTGCCCTCTAAATCCAACAGGAGGCTTCTTCTTTCTGTCATAGTTGATTCAATAAACTCTACATTTGTTCAAATATGTCATCAGTGTTGCTTCTGTGCCTGTTTTAGCAAACTATGCCATGAACTAGTCGACACATTTTAACAAAACTCTCAGAAAGTAGTCAGCTCACATCAAGACAAGCRGTGGGCGTGTCTGCGCTAATCAGCTAACAGCTAACAGTGGAACAAATTTTTCACTTAGCAAATTAACTTTTTCACGTACTTTGAAAAATGTTTCCAAACTAATTAGCTTCCGTTAAATGCAGTTTTGCCAACTTTATGTCAGCTAACAGCTAACTAACAAGYTAACATCAACAGGTMATCTCAGTCCCTTCAGTCTTCAGCTGGAAAGAGACAAAGACGTGTGATGCAGACTGAGTAACAGTTGTCTTAGCGGTCAACAATTAGCTGTTGTAATTAGAGATTGGTAAAATGGTAAATGGCTTGAACTTATATAGCGCTTTATCAAATCCACTTTACACTTCAGACATTCAGTCATTCACACACTGATGGCAGTAAGCTACATTGTAGCCACAGCTGCCCTGGGGCACAGATGGTACATTCACACCGAATGCGTTTTGAGCTGCAAAAATGCACCCAACGCCTCCAGTTGGACACTCTACGTTCAGACCAGGACACAGACTAGAGGCGTGTCTGAATAGGGAGGAGCATCGTGGTTTTTTTCCGGTCTGTCTTCAACAGATGAAATAAAGATAAAATAAAGAAAATGGCATTGCTTTATTTACTAAAGAGCAAGGGAACATTGCGCACACCAGATAATTTAGAGGCRTTTTTTTTTCGGTTAGTTTCACCACTCCAGGACCTCGAGCTGACAAACTATCTTTTTGTCCCGAGCCCAGTTTAACACCGCGGTCAGTTTAATGAGCCGCTGACCCACATCGGTGCTGATATCTCCAGCCAGAACACCAACTGCAGACGGTTGATTTCAGCTAAACAGCTCCGGTCCGTCTGTTTCAGGTTAGTGGGCAACATTCAGGAAACTGTCACGTGGAAAAATTAGTCTCTCTGATTGGTTGACGCCGCGCGTCGAGCAGCAAAAGTTCAGATTTTTGAACTCGAGTGTCGACTGCTTTGGACGCACCGCATGCACGGAAAATGCTCTACCGCTACCTTCTGCTTCKTTGCGCGCTACACTAAACAGACCTGTTGTGTTGCAAGACCCCTAGAGGCCCATCCACCATGGACTTTGCATGTAAACTGGCAGCTCCTACAGCTCAAAATGCATTCGGTATGAATGTAGCATGACATAGGTGAGGCTGCCATGCACCGGTGCCACCGGACTCTCTGACCACCATCAGTAGGCAAGGCAGGTGAAATGTCTTGCCCAAGGACACAACGACTGAAAAGGCTGGACAGGGGATCGAACCGGCGACCTTCCAGTTCCAGGACAACTCCCCTAACCACTCCACCACAGCTGCCCACTAATCACAGAGATTAGTGTTAGCTGCTGCTAATTTTTACTTGTTTAGTGTTAGCTTTTGCTATTTTATGTTTACATGTTTAGTATTTTATTTTATTTTATTTTATTTTACCGTTAGTCAAGCTATATATTTAACTTTTTGGTTAGCTCTTCCCACTGGCGCTAACAGATCGCTAAGTCCCTTGGCTATGTCCAAAACGGGAGGCCGGGTCCTCCGAAGGACCCAGCCTACCCGGTTGATGTGGGCCGGGTCCTTGTTAGACCGGGAAGACTGAAGAAAAGTGGGTGTGAATTAAAACGTATTATTTTCTCTTGCTTCGTCCACCATTACTAGCATTAAAAAACCTCCGATCGGTCCGCAATGCATTATGGGATATGGTGGGCCGGGAAGGATCCATCGGACCAGTCATTCAAATTGGGTCAAAGGAAGGACGCATTTGTCAGCTGCATCGGAGGAGTCTTCGGTTCTGGACAGCCTCCATCGCGGCGCTGTGATGTAAGCGGCCGACGAATTCGGACACGGTCCTTGTTTTAAATTTTGCTATGAACCAATGCAGTCGACCCTGTTTGCAAAACAAAACTGTCCCTTTGAGTTTGCACCACTCTCAGAAATGCTTTTAGGACCATGAGTGAGAGGTCCTTTATCTGTAATGAACGGATAAAATCGAGCCAAATAAACTTGGATGATCAGACCAACCTCCCTCCCACTTGTCTGTTGCGTCTCAGCTTGTAGCCGTTCATTAGTCTCATTCTTAATATCCAATAGTCCTCCTATAGAACACCCCCACTGAGTCTCGGCTGTGTTTGTTCGTGCACAACGGCTCATAGCATACATTCAGACAATTACGCAGTCATTAAAGAAGACGTTTCTTTGCATAAAATCTGCTGTTCTGTTCTGCTAATCTGGAGATTCCCACTCAAAATGCTTGTAAAGATCATCATCGCTACTCTCCTGCTAATAAGAGAAAATATGGATTTAATAGCTCAGACATATGCATGCGCAAACTCTTTCAGAGATAAACCTGAAGGACACTATATTTACATTAATGCCTATTTAATTAGAAACAATATCATAATGGGGGGGGGGGGGGATCATCGAGGGAAAAGTAAAGTGACGGACTGGAAACACTATACCTAATAAACATTAAATGATAAGACTAGATTCKAGTGGTGATGTTTTTAGAGATCAAAGAAGATTTATTAAATGGTTTTTTTGGGTTGTTTATATTTTGTGATGGACTTGTGACCTGTCCAGGGTGTCCCTCACCTCTCAACTGTTGACCAGCCCCACTAGCAGTTTTGACTAAAATGTCCCTCATTATTTAATATAGGAGGGGAGATAATGATTCACCAAAATGTCTTCAGTCCTGCACACAAAAGCTGAATTATTCAGGAAGAACAGAAACCCAGAATACAAATATAGAAAAGAACGCCGCTCTTATCTGCAATGTTTATGTCCTCGGTCGAACTNGTTACCGACATCTGGTGAAAATTTCATGTCATTAGCACCTCTAGTAAAATATTTACTGAGAAAAATGGTGACGTGTTCAATACTTATTTTACCCGCTGTAAATCATTCATTTTCTGCCCAGATTTCTAAAAATCGGCACCAGAATCGGCCTTCGAAAAAATCCCATTGATTAGCTTCTACTTTCCATCTAAAAACAATAGAATCAAGCATAAACCTGTGTATAAGTGTATAACGTATGCATTCCTTTAAGTTATTTATTTAAACAGAATTTAGTCTCTCTTTCGTAACGAGCTTTAAAATGCAGTGTCAGTTTGTACCAGATTTTATTTACACTCTTTCCTATGCAAATCTCTGCTCTCATCTCCCGTCCTCATTTGTTTTATTAGCAACTTTTACCTCCCTCTGATGCCTCGGGTCAACATATGGAGGATTTGAGCTTTGGGGGAAATTCAGACACCCTAACAGCTGCTGCAGCGTACTTATCTTCCCGGCAACCCCGCTAATTGAAACTGTGGCTGCGGAGCGAGAATGATTCGATCAGACGAGCTCGGAGCGAGCCGACGGGGGAGCGGAGGAGTCAGACAGATTCAGTCTCTCTGCAGGGACCTCGACAGGATTGTAGACCTAACATTCCTTCAAAGATTGCCTAATACATGATCTTATGATTACAGACCCTCAGCTTCTAACATGGCAAATTTCAGCTCAAAATCTATGAAATGGACTGAGCTTTGACCATTTTAGCATTGATTAACATCAGTTGGCTGTGGTGGCCATCTTTAATCGGGTTAATTCCAGATGTTAATGGATTGCAGAAGCACAGCCGATGATCACTTCCTGAGAGTTTCGCTAAAATTCGTCTAAAGCTCCTTGAAATATTTTGCTAACAGACAGACCGAGACAATCAGCTCCGTTAGTTATTAGCAAACATTTCCATTGCATATTTTGCTTGAGCGACCAGTGTGTGTTGGGAATGACTCTCAGCTACTCCAGCACCAAATTTTAGCTCAAAATCTGCAAAACGGACTGAGCTATAACCGTTTTTGCATTGACTAATGTTGGTTGGCTGTGGCGGCCATCTTAAATCAAGTTGACTCCAGATTTTAAAGATTTGCAGTCGCAGAGCTGACGGTCACTTCCTGAGAGTTTCATAAAATTCCATCTAAAGGCTTATGAGATATTTTGCTAACAGACAAAGAGAGTCAACATCAAAGGCTATCTGCAGTGTTTTATACGCAAATTTTGTGTGAGCAGCTTGTGCTTGGAGTGTCTGTTGGGAATGCTCTCAGCTACTCCTGCACCAATTTTTATGTCAATATCTATACATCTGGCAGACTTAAAGCCGTCTATGGGTTTGAGGAGTTCGGTTACCTGTGGTAGTCACTTTGAATCGGGTCATTGCTAAAAGTTAATGATGTGTTGCTGCGTATTCAACGACTATTTTCTGGGAGTTTCATTAAATCCCATGCTGTGGTTTCTGAGATATTTTGCTAACAGACACAAGTGAACAAAATCATTATTATCCAAGCGGTTTAATTAAAATAATAATTAAAACTCTTAGAATCCAAAACATTTGCTGTAAGCAGGTTTCAGCGTCGTTTCTTTGAGGTGAGGCTCTGCCCTTTCCTAACTAACCTTCAGCCCTTCCCTCCCTCCGCCGCCAAGCTTCAATTAATCAGGCCTTGATGCGTCAGTGATTTGGGCGCTGGTGGAGCAGCACTCTGTCAATAAATCCAAGATGGATCAGTCCCCCGCCTCGTCCACACAGGCTGAATCACTCACAGGGCCCTGCGTCACATCCACTCGCCTGCCCTGGCATCACACTTCTTTGTTAATTAGCTGTGAACGGCTCCGGCGGCGGCGGCGGGGGGAAAAAAAAGCTGAATTATTCAGGAAGAACAGAAACCCAGAATACAAATATAGAAAAGAACGCCGCTCTTATCTGCAATGTTTATGTCCTCGGTCGAACTGCACGACGTCA